AGGTGTTGTGGTCAGAACACAAGGATCAGAAGTGAAAGATACACTTCTTTCACTTAAGATGATTTTGAAGGGAAGTGGCTCTTTCTTAGAGCCAATTTCATTGAGGGGTTCACGAAAATCATCATGCTGCTTTCTTATATAAAGGATTCCTATCTCCTAGTATTCCACAGTCACATGGAGAGTCCCAAGTTTGGTGCAATAACTCGAGTAATTAACAACAACAACTTTTGAGTGTTAACTATATGTCAGATATTGCTGAAAGCATTTACATATAATAACATCTTTAAGCCTCAAATAACTTATACTAGTTATTAAAAAAACTGAAGCATGGATAGTTAAGTATTTTGCCCAATATCAAACAAATGGTATTTGGAGGAGTCATTTTTAAAATTCAGTCATTCTGGCTTCAAAGCTGGTGCATGACTTACAACCTTCTCCCTCAAAAGTAATTTAGACCAATCCTCTGCTGCCATCTTGGTATTTGCAAACTCTGTCTCCACTGGTGTAGTCTGACTCATTCCCCTTTCCCATTGTTGTCTGTGGTTCATGGAATTTGGTTTCTGGATAGGGTTAAGAGAGAAGAAACTGCCTTAGACCCTCCAGGTGAATATTTAGTTTAGAGTCTCTCTATTAAAGAAAACAGGACTGTGCATCCAATCTGTATTTTCCACAGATTTACCCAATAAGAGAAAAGTTGAACCGCACACGTCTCGCTCTCATTATCTGCAACATAGATTTTGAGAATCTTCCCAAGAGGGCTGGTGCTGATGCTGATATCAGAGGGATGAAGACACTGCTCGAAGGACTGGGGTACAGCGTGGATGTGAAACAAAATCTCACTGCTTCGGTAAAGTCTATTACTGTAGAAAAAGTGGTCATATACATAATACTCCTAAACAGATTTAGAAAGCTTGGTTTTAGCACCAGGAAATGTAATCTTGTGATATTCTAGAAGATAGTCTTCTCTTTGGAGGTTAATTAATGCTACAGATTCCTTTCCAATGCAGAGTCTTTTAGCAAGATCCTGTGGAAATTTTATTTGGAAAGTGTTGTATTAACTCAATAATGCCCCCCTTTTCTCTGCACTAGAAATCCTTGAATGACTTCCTGTAGCCCTTTTCTTCATCTTTAGCTGAATTGGGATTTAAATTTTCTTTTCCACTCTGCCGTTTTTCATATTACCTAGCAATACCTAAAGTGTCTCTTTGTTTGCCAAGTGCTGTGATAGTGAATCACAAAGTTCAAAATCAGTGGTATGGCTTCTTTCAGGACATGACTGCAGAGCTGAAGACATTTGCTGACTGCCCAGAGCACGAGACCTCTGACAGTACTTTCCTGGTGTTCATGTCTCACGGTATTCGGGATGGTATTTGTGGGAAGAAGTACTCTGAGGGAATCCCAGATGTATTAGAAGTCAACACCATCTTTCAAAGCTTGAACACCCGGAACTGTCCAAATTTGAGAGACAAACCCAAGGTGATCATCATCCAGGCCTGCCGTGGTGGTGAGTGCTGAGATCTGATAGAGCTCAAGACCTTCATGTACTAACCTTATCATCTGTGTACATCCAGTAATCTTCACTTTTTTTGTATCTGCTCCTTAATGACAAAGCATAGCTTTTGTGAGTTGTGTGACTGGCTGGTAGATATTTGTTCTATCGTTAACTACTAAGATACTACTTTTAGTTCTGAGATTTTGATATTTGGAAGTTGTTAGAATTTGAGGGTGAAGAAAGAATAACAATAGGAGTTGTTGAAATGATTTTCCTGAGATGTGTGTGCATATTCATGTGGATGAAAATCGGAGACAAATGAATTAATGAATACAGTTGAACAGAAGTTCAGGGGAGTAAATATGCCTTTGGCAGTTGCTAATAAGAAGAAACTTAATCTTGTCTTTCCAGTGAACCAGGGAGTGGTGTGGTTAAAAGATTCAGTAGAAAATTCTATCAGCAGCTCTTCACTGGCTCCAGAAGATTTTGAGGATGATGCCCTTAAGAAATTCCATGTGGAGAAGGACTTTATAGCATTTTGTTCCTCGACACCAGGTAATGGCAGGCCTCTTGTGGGAGTACCAGTGCAGAGACTCACACCTACCCATTAGATTCCTGTGTTGAACTTTAGATGGGACTTTTCAGACAACTCAAGCATTCCTTCCAGTCACACCTTCCATTCCCCTTATCCACAGAGGCCAAACATACGTGTATTTGCACTGAATTAGTAATTAGTAAATTCCTCCATGGTGCAAATATTTTTTCTGAAAGTAAAGCCTACCAGAGAATGAATTGAAGAGTTTCTACACTGAAGTAAATGATAATCCGACTTTACAGAGAAAAGATCCATAACAGTAGTCACTGAGCAGTCCAATATGCCTAGACATGATGCGTTTATAGCAGAATAGTGTAGGGGAATGGCAAAAAGGCAGACAAGGTAATCAGGGACATAAGCTGAAAAAACTTTTAATTACAAGTATGGAGTGAATCAAACAGCACAAATCTTAATGGTTACATATTCTAAATCTAGTCTTTGGAATAAGAGCCTTGGAATCATATCCTGACCATGTCATTTAGTACTTTGTAAATTTGTTCCAGTTATTTAGCTTCTGTTAGCTTTCTTTGAATTCCTCAATAACATATGTAAATAAAAATAACACTGTTTTAAGGACTAAATTAGATAATATATATGAATCATTGAACATGACGCAGAGTAAACTACCCATTAAATGACTTCTGT